CCTGTCTCTTTTCCTCTTTGGCGCGGCTAATGGCCAGCTTCAGAGTTTTCCGCGCCCGCCGGTACTCCTCATGAAGCCGGTCCTCCTCACCGTCTCCACGGTGACGCCGCCGACTGCGTGTGTAGGACCTCCGGGCACGTGTACAGGCCGCACGGAGGTCCGCCAGCTCCTGGGACCACCAGTAGACCTCCTTCCTTGGAGGCCGACGACCTCGAACGCGGGGCATGGCCGCATCGCATACATGCGTAATCGCATCGCGAAAGCGGCCAGCCCCCACGTCGACCTCCTCGGTCGGAGCCTGAGGAGACAGCCACGAGTGAATTATGGCTGCCTCCTCTAGTAGGTCCCGGTTCAGCCTGGCAACAGCCCACCGCGGAAAGCGGGATAAACGCCGCGCCACGTGACCCCTACTGGAGTCCTGGGTCCGGGAGAGCTCAAATCGGATATACAGGTGATCCGAGAGCGTCTCAACCTCTTCCAGGACACACCAGTTCCTTACTCGTGCGGCGAGGACAGGGGTAGCGAACGAAAGGTCCACTATCGACCCCCCCCTGCTGTCGCACGCACGTGTTGGTGGAGCCTCTGTTTAGAAGACAGAGGCCCACCGAGGCCGCCCACTCCTCTACGGCCTCGCCCCTGGCGTCCGTCCTGGGGGAACCCCACGCAATGGACTTTGCGTTGAAGTCCCCCAGCACAAGGACGTGCCCAGACGCTAGTCGCCGTATCGAGGTCTCCAAGCTGGTTAGGAAAACCTCGAAGTCGTTCAAACTCCGGTTGGGGGAGAAATAGACACCATATATGGTGATCCCCCCCCACTCGACGGCAACATATCCAGTGCCCTTGTCTCTTAGCGACAAGGGCGGGGAATGAGCCGTCGTGGAACCGACGACTGCCACGGAGCCGTCCCAGTCACCCATCCAGTTTGGACGGGGAGGGACAGAATAGGGCTCCGCGACTACGGCAACACCTATCGACCACTGTGCCATGGTTTGCAGGAAGAGATCCTGCGCCGCGGCACAGTGGTTCAGGTTCGTCTGGACCAGGAGGTTGGAGACTTGATCCATTACTGGATCGTCTCTACAACCTCCTCCATGGGCGACGACGTCGACGCACGAACTACATCGGAGGCAGCCTGGGTCGACTGGCTAACCCCCGACGTCTGCCGAGAACTGCGGGGAGGCTTGCAGCCTCTCTGCCCCATCTGGTGATTGGCGGGCTTATTGCCCGCCTCACACACTGGGCAGTGAGGGGCGGCAGAGCATTCTGCCGCCTTATGCCCCGGTTGACCGCAGCGGAAACACAGTCCGCCGCAGTCAAAACAACTGTCGCACTTGACGCGCGTGTTTCCCGATGCTAGGCATTTGTAGCATCTCATCGGTCTCGCCGCCAGGACTGTGATCCTGGCGCTCACGAAACCGATGAGCAGCCTGCCGGCGTCGGCCAATACTTTGGCCGACGCTACGGGACAGCTGACCCACACGGCGCCAAGCCCTCCTGGACCGGGGCGGATGGTGCCGACCCTGACGTTGTCCGCGCTGCACCCCGTCTTCTCCCGGATTACAGCGCGGACATCTTCGGCCGTCACAGAGTCGTCCAGGCCCGAGATGCGCAGCTCTGCGCACTTAGTAGGCCTGGCGATCTTTACACCATCCGTGGCTGTAAAGAGTCCCCGCAGCTTCTCGGCAAATGTGTCCGCCGTCTTAGCGCCTTCAGCCCCAGGGAACTCGAGGACTCGAGCTCCCGTCTGGGCGAGGCGCATTCTGACCCCCACCGTTCCAAAATCGTTGGCGAGGCTGTCCCGGGCCTTTTTGAAGACGGCCGCGTAGGACAGCCCGCCGTCCGCCGCCTCCGGGGACACGGTCACCACTACAGCCGCGGTTTTGGGCGGCTGCAGCTTCCGCGGCCTCTTTGTGGAGGCCGTTGCCACCGGTGGCGAAGGCTGGGCTTGGGCTGCTTTTTTGGCAGCCTTTTTGGCCCGCCTTCGGGACTTCTTGGAGCCCCTCGCCTCCTGCCAACCCTCGTTGGAGGGGGCAGGTGCGGAGGGGCCCGGCAGGGGTGTCGGAGTGGGGAGCGGAGGGAATGCCACTCCGCTCCTCGGCGCCGTTTTAGGCCCCGTCTTGGCCGGCGCCTGGGGATGTGCCTTGGCCGGCGCCTTAGCCGGTGCCTTGGCCGGCGCCTGGGCCGGTGCCTTGGCCCCCCTCCTCGGCTTTTGGGGAGCCTGAAACCGAATTGAACGGTCTAGGCACGGTACTATTATAATACAGTACTCCAACTTCATACAGACGGACGAAACGCGAGCTATACCTACGCGCCTCGATCTCGGGGTGCGCTCGGGGCGCAGACAGTCACGGCTGTCACGGTCGAACGGACGGTGTGTTGTTTTTTTAACAATAACCGCCCGATTTTTTCTCTAAAATCAGTTAATATGACGAGTAGGAAATATTGTGCTGTTTTTGGTTGTATGAATTCGTCAATAACGCATCCGGACATAAGTTTTTTTAAATTACCTGGAAACTCTGAAAGGTAAGACTATAAAAGAATTTTACTTACTAGTAGGTAGGTACATATTGTGTGTCTTTTTAATGGATAAGTATTTCCTTTTATCTCACGAAAAAAAAGGTGTTTGGATTAATAAATAAAGCGAATAGAGTAACGGAAAGTTATTGAGACGAGTGAAATAGGTAGCTATATGCGGTTCTGAATTAATCATGATACGGTAGGTACCTACCTACTTACGCTTGTGTTAAAATTTCGGTGCATGTGTGTTTTGTTACTTTGCATAATTCAAAGTAGAGACGTGGTATTTTATTATTATTAATATTTGTTTATTATCTGTGTGTATGAATAATACTAGATTTTTTTTTACCGTCTGTGTGTCATTAGATAGTTTTCGAAATTTTCACAAATTGTTTCTGCTGCTACGGTAACAACATATGCCACTAAAAACTGGTTTTATTTTCTCGGTATTGACAACAACAGCTAGACTCATATATAATATTTAGATGTTTGAGGGTTGTGATTTTAAAACATTCGTAGTCAGCTGTTCAGCTTTTTAATAATTAATTAATTGGTGACCAAAGAATTTTTGTTTTGAGTTGTTGCGAGTTGTAGGTAGGTACCTAATTTATAGAGACGTTAATAAGCTGAGATAAAAAGTTACTTACTCGTCAGCTGTTTCTTGCATTCTAGTTGAGTAGGTAGGTGTTGGAGTTTCTAAGGATTGGAGTTTTGTAACGCGTAAGGAAAAAGCACATTTTTTTTTCATTCTATAGAAGGATTTTTAAGCTATTGCATAGCTTTTATCGCGGGCTCTGAGCGCGGCGCGGCGCGGTGACCGATTTAAGAAATTCTCAAAACCTAACGAAAAATACCTGACACCACGCAGATTTTTTTCTTTAAAAAAAATGTTATGCAATAGCTTTACCGCGGCAGTCTCCGAGAGTGCCACTGATCCGGCGAGATGATTTGGAAAACAAACCTAACTTTAGTTCCTACCAAGTTTGTGAAAAACATTTTAATTTGGAGGATGTATTACATTCATCAAATAGAAAACTTTTAAAAAAGAATGCCCTACCATTGTTGATGCTGCCAAGCTTAGCTAGTACTGATCCAGGAGTCTCTCTAAAAGAAGATAAACAAACCCAAACTGCTCCGTTGGTAGGAAATGAAAATAGTACACAGACTGAAAATGCAACAAATGAAATCTTTGCTCAAACCTCAACGACTCTCTCTAGCAACACTCCAAGAAAAAGAAAATTGAAACTTGAACTCCTCCAATGCAGAAAGAAAATAAAATAATTAAATCTACCAATCAAAAAACAACACGCATTTTTATTGAACACTTCCTATTCAATATACAAAGTATTTCATTTATTTATATAAAAAGGATATTTACAATCACAAATCTAAATAGAAACAGAAAGTAGGCAAATATAATTAAAATGCTGGAGACGGGCAGCCCTAACGCATGTTTACGTACCGCGCGGCTGTAGGCATTTATTTCTATCATGCGGCCGAGTTACACTACTGTATTATAATTGTACCGTGGTCTAGGTACGCATCGCCGCGCGCCGTTCCCGTAGCCAGCCCGTAAATTATACATACAATTGATTACCTACGATTCTCCTGTGACTTTCATCAGCAGACGTAGACGAATCAATGTGAAAAGTACACGACCTTGCAAGAAATGGATCTCTTTTTGCTATTCGACGCTTATTCGTATAAGCGATTCGTATTAACAATTTACAAGGAAAATTTGTTCAATCCAATTGAAAGATAGATATCAAATGAAAGTTCAATTTCAATATCTTTATTTTATAAAAGTAATTGTCTTTTTAACATGATAAAAATTATAACCGCAATAACAAGTTGTTTTGTCGATCGTAAACTTATTTAAAAAAATGGTAAACAGATACTGCTGACTATGTTGAACAAACAAATTAATAATATAAAAATAATATTATCGGACATTTGACACTCAACGCCGTTATATTTTTTTTTGTAAAAATATATACATAATAAGAAGTACCTAGAGGACCGAGCTTTACGCGGTATTTTATTTTGGTAAAATTTCTAAAGATGAAACCTAGCTAGACCGCATACTAAATTTCATGAAAATCTTTGGAGCCGTTTCGATATATATATATAAATATATATACTGTAAGTGCTTTTGTGTCTTTCCTTTTTTTTGTATCCTCCTTATATAATCACGTCGTGAATTATTGACGAATGATAGCCTGTAAGATTATATGTATAATCATCAAATAATTTAAAGGATAACTCGAAAAAAATCCATACACACAGATAATTAGGTCAAGACACTTTATTTCAGAGCTGTCATCTTTGCGACCTTTGGATACGGGTCCTCGGAAATGTTCTCTTATTATTAAAGCTCATATTTGGCAAAAAATAATTTACCATTTACAGCATCTGATATTTCTTTTAAGACCTTGAACATTTTAAATGATACTACTTCTAAATAAAGTTATTGTGTTCCTCAGATTCCCTTAACGATGTTGATGAAACGCGCTGTGTTCCCGAAAATGAACGACCACAGCATTTCTCCAAAAGAGAATGAACTCAAAGCTCTTTCTTCGTTCTTCTCACAGTCATGTATCGTCGGAAAGTGGTCACCAGATCCAAAAACTAATTCTGCATGGAGTAAGTAGTTTTTCTTTCTTCTAAAATCACCTTAAAATATAGTGTAACTAAATAATTTATACAGTTGTTCTTACGTACGAACATATATAGATAAACTCGACTGATTTGGACCAAACAATGTACGTTAATCAAGGATTGTTTGGTAACGTACATAAAGCGACAAGACAAGCCGTCAACTGCACGGATGGCATAGTGGTTTGAGCGGTCACTTCGCTGCTTCGTACCACGCTGAGTGTTGTGGGTTCGAGACAAGACTTTGTGTGATCCACAATTTGTTATTTTGAGTCTGGATGTTCTTTGTGTCCATTTTATGTATGTTTGAAAAGTACAAACATACAACCGTTTTGGGACACAGACGATAGTGTCACGAAAAAAACAAAACTGAATTCATCCATTTAAATTTACAGTAGATCATACTTGGCAACGAGAACAATAAACAAATCACTAGACATATAATGATTTTTTTCTTTATGTATATTGTAACTAACTCCGATTTATAACTTTTTACATGAGTGTGAATAATTTTAATACCGAAGTAAGCACGTCTCTAAGTAACAACGTATTATGTTAGTAAGCATTCTATGAGTATATTAAATTAGTTACTAAATTTTGCATGTAAATATCACGGGTTATCTATTAAAAGAAAATATTACTTCATTTAAATCATATCACAGGTAACAAACAGCAAGAATTTTTCTTTAAATAATACTGGTCAAAACTGCAATCAATCTTGTTATACAAACAGTATCAAAGTACACCGACCATTTTTCTACCCAGAAATAAATTCCCCACGGGGAGTTTTCAACCCTCGTTTCATAAGGCATGACCTTAAAAGGATGTTTTTTTTATAAAGGGCTATATTTCAGAGAGCCAGTACAGACAGTTATGTTCTCTATGTGAGCATCCCGACAAATGTGACTATCCGGACAATTACAGTGGCTATGAAGGAGCTTTAAGGTGTCTAGCCCTCAATGGCGGTCAAGTGGCGTTTACAAAAGTCATTTATGTACGGAAGTTCTTTGGGGTAAGTTGCTTTAGCCGGATACTTTTCTAAAATTTTAAGTGAAATTGCCACTGTTAGACAGTCATTACGTTTTATTCTCCAGTAGTTTTTAGGGTTTCGTCCCTCAAAGGAAAGAAATAAACTCTAATGGGACCACTTTTTTGTCCATTTATTTGTCTTTTTCTGTGGCTCTGTCGAAAGGAGATATCAAGTGCTTGCATCTGTGATCTCTTGAAGCTATAAATAAAGCTTCTAAGAAAACAAATTTGAACATTTTGTAGTTAAATTAGAACCTTTAGGTTGACCTATAGGTTGGACCCATTGACCTAGAATTGTGAAAAATTGTAAGAAGCAAAGAGGTGAAACATGAACATTAGTTTTGTTTTAAGTCTGTTTTTCTAGCGAGCTTGGTCTTTACTTAGCTGTAGTCTATGGTCTCTTACCTGGGGCCGGATGTCTCCCTTTTCAGGCGCAGACTGGCACACCATGTGGTTCGGTTTTTAGTCGGTTCGATTCTAACGGCCCGAGGGGGTTTCCACACGCCGAAAAAAGGGGTTCTTATCTCACTTTTGATTTAGCAACTACTTCAGCAATATAAAAACAAGGTTCATCGGCCATTCGGATAACACATATTTATTGCCAAGTCCTACCGATGAATTGATTTCCACCCTCTTCTATTTCTCTACACCATCAGGCGACAATCGACAATCACCAAACAAGTCAAAGCGCTTAATATAATCCTCATCTCAATCTATAAAACTTTAGCAAAAAATAAGATAATAGACCCGTATTTACTTCAAAAAGTATTTGTGAATGGATAAAATTGTTTTCATAGAGTTTTGTATTAAAATCTCATTTTATTTCTTTCACAAAACATTCGGAACAACCTTTACAATCCCAGCGAACCTTTCTATTAAACTTTATATTGTTCAACTATTGATATTTCGTGTTACCGTAAGGATCCAACATGTTTTCACATCGTCTATCCATTTACCTGCTGCAAACGCGAAATCCGATTTCCTAAAATCACTTTAGTTGTTCAAATACCTACTCGTAAATTACGAAATTCAAAGAACGCTTCAGAATTATTACGTAGTATTTTTACTTTAGCGACTTATAATGTTTATTCTAACAAGGCTGGAGCTACAAAAACTTTTATATTTAGAAGATTATAGGAAGATATGAAAGATTTTTCTTAAATTTGTTCAATTCATTTATTAACTGGCTTCACCGATGTGATAACACGGCCTAACAGAAAACTCATTTTAAGCACACAACGTCTAGCAACGCACTTAAGTTACAGATGTCAAGGGGCGTTGGTAGTCACTTACCATTAGGTGAACCGACTGCTCGTTTTTCGCCCATACCATAAACAAAAAAAAACAAAAAATATTGGTGTATGATGAATATTTATACCTTGTAAAAGTGCTATGTTTCTCGTTCTTTTCAGTAAAAGTTTAATCCACGAATAGCATTACTTTATTGAGCTCGCCTATGCTCTGACTGCTATTGCTCGAGGGAAATCACCATTGCCTCGGCACCCAGAAATGAAAATAAAACGAGCTAAAATTTTAGATTCGACGTATTATGTCAGAGGATTTTTATTCCAATACATTCTTATTTAAAAGGCAAGTACTTTCTTAAAATCATTATTTGAATAAGCGGGCAATCCGATGATTCTAGCTTATTCAAATAATGGCGAACGGAATATGAATACATGATGGCGAATGGTAACCTGCTTTCACATGTACAGTAACAAAACTTTTTTGTCCTCTTACTTTTTGTTCGGTTTAGCTCCGGTAATGCTCCGTCGGGGTGAGATTAGGCATATTTTAGACTACTCTGCTTATACGAGTACTCCTCCGATTATCAGAAAGAAACGCAAAGGACGTCACGAGAACGTCGGGCTCGTCATGCCCAATTTTTTTCAGACCAGTACATTTTGTCTAGCATCTTTCTCCCTCGGTTACAAAAACTCGGTTAAATCCAGCACTTACAAAATATTTTTCTTCAGCTACCAGTAGGCACGATACCAGCTGGAACTGCCGAACAAAGTCCTGATGGATACAGTTACCTTTGCGTCGATGGTACTAAAGTTCCTGTACGTGAGAAGGCCTGCTCCTGGGCCGCTCGGCCTTGGCAAGGTATCTTGGCTCACAATGATGTACTAGCCCAGTTGACTCCGTTGCGGGAAAAGATTAAGCAACTGGCTGAAGCAGGTAGGAAGCTTTAGAAGAAGAATAATTTAATCTTGAAACTTTTTGTTTTATCATAATGTGATATACATGTAAAACAAAATAAAACTTTATTCTGTAAAAAACGCAGTATACAACCTTTGTAGAAAGGGAAAAAACTAAGAATACATTTTAATGGAATATATTTGCTATTTTTAAAACGAAAAGAGGTATTAGTTACGAAAAACAAAAAGTTATCTACATTAGATTTTCATTTATTTCACACCACAAGATCAACTTCCATGAAGTCATAAGTGAATGGTATGAAATGTGTACTTACGGTGTTTTCTAATTAAAAAACTTTATCATGATTTATTAAAACCGCTTTCTCTGCAATAAATAGTAAAAAAATAATACTATATTTGAAAACACATTTCTTTCTTTAGGCACCAGCAGCAAGCCGAAATGGTTTACCGGAGTGCTGGGCTTATCAGAAAAGATTTACCACGTAGCCGACAACATTCCTATAAGACCAATGGACTACTTAAACAAGGCCAACTACACTGAGGTCATCGAAAGAGGCCACGGACCTCCAGAAACGGTTGTCAGGTAAACAGAAAAGTGGCATTAACGAGATAAAAAATAAGTACGTAATCACTGAGCTTTGAAAGAATTCCAAAGTTATATATAGCTCTACGACTATATCCTTTAAAAGATGAGGTTAGTTTGAAAGTTTCCTGAACTTGTGAGTTTCCATTGAGAGATATTTTTAAAAGTAGGAATCGCTTTTACAAATCCTTTGGAAACTTTTACCATTAATAATGGATTTCTCTGTAAGTTTTAATTTTTAACTTAGCTAGTTTGTTTTATTAATGTGATTCGACTTAAGTTTTGGAATTATGTATGTAAAGTAGTAATTAAAATTTACAATAATGTAGTTAGTGATTATCATACACATATTTTAAAAAAGATTAATAAATGAAGTAGATGAACAAATATTGAATTGCACCCAAATATTTTTACATGACTACTCCGTAGTCGGTTATGTCTGTAGCAAGCTATTATATTTGTGTATGTGTAAATTCAATTGCCCTCATATGTCTGAACATATGAGGGCAAATGAATTTTCTTACTATAATTTAACAAACAAGGTATTGTTAAATATAACTTGATCGTTCGCTGGTTATAGACGTCACATATGTACGTCATAATAAATACAAAAATTAAATTAAAACAAACATTTATTTTAAATGTACCACGTTTCCGTAACATGGTACATTTCAAATTCATTTTTACTATATGAGGGACCTGAGGCGCCTCGTCCTGGATCCTATCCAGAAAGAGGCGCCTGAGGCCGGCGGTCGGGGATGTTTTTTGTTTAAACACAACATACTCCTGTCTCTTGCGTCCTCAAGGCACCGAAGACCCACTTAATTACCAATAAAAGGGATATCAAATGAAAGAGTTAAAAAACAACATAGGTTACTTACTTATGTTTGCTCCCTTACTTACGTATTGTCAATCCGTCATCACACGGATAAGGGAGCAAACTACGCATCACAACAGCACTGCTACAATAAGGAAAACCTGAAACAACCCATCTGGCCAGCGTGGTATATACCGCCGCCCATGAACGCCTGCAACTCAGGAGTCACAAACGCGTTGCCGGCCTTTTAGGAAGTAATACGCTCTTCTCTAATACATTTGAAAGTCGTAGCGGTCCGGAAATACCGCAGACGATAACTTGTTCCACAAATTTGTTTTGTTTATTGTTTCCAAATCATATGATCCACTTACCGTTAGATATTCTTTAGTTCAAAGCGATTTCTTAAATGTGTCCGGTGAATGTTAGTATGATGAGCAGGTATGTGACATTACGCACAGCCTCTCATCTCAGTGGTTTGCGCACATTACTATGAGTGTTCAGGTGGTACGTCGTAGGTTAGTATGTCAGCTGTAACCTTTCACACAATAAGTAGGCCGCGCTTTCAGTTAAAATTTACTTTCTAAGGCGCGCTGATGAGCTCTTTTGAAATGCAGTTTAATGTTGTTAAATTTTGAGGTTATCTTAAATACATATGTATGTACGAGCTAATATCTACTTAAATACATAAATCTACCTATATACGTATGTACGTATATAGCTAGATAGAGATGTATTGTATTAAACAGGGAGCTGGTGATTGAAATCAAAATTAAGGGAATATATCCAGATTTTTCTGATATTCCACCCATAACACAAAAAAAATACTTAAATTCAAAATGATAGTCACTAAAATTAAAAAAAAAAAAACCAACAACTCCCGCGCTAGGAATAAATTCTATGTCGCAGGGACTCTATAAACATTCATGAAACGAATACAAAGAAGACCCACACTCAAAACATCACACAAAGTGTTGTCCCATGTGGGGGTCGAATCCACAACAATCAGAGTAGTAGGAAGCGGCGAAGTGACCGCTTGAAACAATACGCCATCCGTGAAGTCAAATAATAATAATATAATAATAATATATAACTTATAAACGAACACAGGAAAAAAAGTCTAAACCATTTTTCTTTTTTTTTTCCACAGGTTATGCGTGACGTCTAACGTGGCGCTCGCTAAATGCCGTGCGATGTCGGTATTCGCCTTCAGCAGAGATATTAGGCCGAGGCTTGACTGTGTCCAGGAGGCTTCTGATACCGACTGCCTTAAGAGCGTAAGTTAAACATTATAGATTATGACCATTACAATTAACCTTATCGAAGACTTTTCTGAGAAAAGGAGCCCTGCCAGAAAAGCAAGTGGGGAAACGAAGAAATATACTAGAGCGACATTTAACGAGGAGACTCCGAACTACGGAATAGCTCCTGAATAAGAGTTGCTAATCCTGTATCGCGATATGAAGAATTACAACTTCCCAACATCAACCGTTGGGCCGCGGCCCGCCAGTCATGATCACCTCGCCTGGTCGGAGGGTCCTCCCTTTGTGTTGAAGGGGCACGACACCCGTTCATCCACCATTACAAAGAATGTCTCAAGAAGTTGGCAGTCATAATATCAGTACAAGTCTACCTTGTTCTAGGATTTATTTGGTAAACACTGAGTCTCCTGTGACTATACGTAAATTCATACCTAGTTTGCTTTTAACACTTATTATGAAATTAAACAGCAATATCGCTACTGTTGAATTCAACACTCTATACATATTTAAGTAAACAGATAGATTTATTTTGAATGACAAGGTCTTAAGGATTGCAGGTGTTGTAGGCGGCCATTCAAGTGCATTGACCTTTTTACAAAAATACCCTGGTACCTAATAAACCGTAACTGACTGACCAATAAACCCTATTAAATTGCGACTCAAATTCATAAACATTACATTTTATCCATCTACCTCGTGTCACATGTAAGAATGATGAACGACGTCACTCGCGGACAAAAACTTAGTAAGTACCAATGGTAAATCACTTTTGTCGAGCAATTAGTAGTCTTATAACGATAATATCTGCGTAAATTTGTGCACAAAATCCTTTAAAATTCTTCAAAACATTGCAGATTAACCTTATTAAAAATTTGCAACGAAAGTTATTATACCCTCTATATTTATAAAACTTGTATTATAATTTAAAAAAAACTTAAAATTTATTTATGTTGAAAAAACAAAAAATCCTAATAAAGTACATAAATAAATTTTCTATTTTGTTAGGATTTTCATGGTTTACATAATTTTTCGACAATTCTTTACATATAACGTCTGAAACGTTATCAAAATTTTTCATTTATCTAATTTGCTCTCTTTGAAAAGTTATGAATATTTTACACAGAACGATTGCATTTACAAAACGAAATAACTTGCTTATTTCTTTTTGTAAACTTGTTTGGGCTTTGTAAGAAAGATAATTCGGTGTTCTCGACGAAACTAAACATGAAATAAATATTAGCCACTTTTACGAACTGTGTTAAGCTTATTATAATTTGACTTTTACGAGAATATTTCTGTGTTGATCTAGCCCTAAATACTGACAGGTACATCCTTGTCGAATACATTTTAAGTCATGTTATAACTGCGCGATTTTATTATATGTAAAATTAAATTAAATTAAAATAGGTCGTAAAACGCACGTATATTGTTAATAGTTTTCTCCGTGCAGTCGTGCACTAACGAATAATTAATTAAAATACGACACGTAAAAAATACAACTTTTGGAAGTAAAACGATTATATGTATGTTAAAAAGATTTTAATACAATAATAATAATAATTACAAAAATTGAAAACAATAATAATAAAATTAAGCGCTCTTCACAGTGTATTAGTAACAATTTGCTTATAATTAAGTTATAAATAAGAAAGTATATTTTCGATTTTAAGTGTCCTTATCCAATATTTTTGAATAGTGCCCTATTCACCATATAAACCTTGTGGCAATAACTTTAACAATGCTGTTTTGGGCATTCCGCAGACACTGTAGGATAGCCTTAAACCTGTCAGTTTGCATTTCAGCAAAAATTCCGGAGACGCTATAGCGTTGCGGCAGCCTCAACAACATTCTCAAAGCATTGTTGTAGTAGATTTTATAAAAGGTACTGTCCTAAGGTATGGGCATAGCTACTCAGTGGCATAATACCTACTGGCAAAAATTTGCTTCAAGAACTTCCTGTCCGCTTAACATTTTGCGTATTTTATTGTTATTATTATGTAAATTATTACCTAAGTTCTAGCCCTCTAATTGCATATCAACATTACAGTTTATAGATATTATAAGGTATGTTCAGATTCGACAATTACGTCTTAACAATTTTTACCGATATCAAGTGCTTAAAAATGTTAATTCCTTTGAAACCTTCGCAATACAAAGATATTCTCTCGGACCACGACTCCAACGGTCGATACATTTAAATGATACAATGACTGAACGGAGGGTTAAGTCACTTGGCCAACAAATACGATTGCCTCTTATTTACCAATTTTACCCTTCGTGTATCAAAAAGGGTTTCAATTTTCAAAGAGAAATAAAGTTTAGTTGACCATGGACGAGTTAAGCTTCTCTTATAAATAAATATATTTGCGAATGTACATGGGCGAATAAGTCTTTGTAAATGCCAAATATTCAATAGGGAACGGCCAAAATACCTACTTCCTTTGATTGAAATAATCTACTGATTTATTAGATTTTGAATCACATATAAATAACACACGTTCTTTACATGAAGTACGACAATATTCATTTTAGTTAAGAATAGGTAAGGGAGGTTATGCTTAAACAGAAGGATCCATATCCCAAGCCGTCTGGCCATTGTGGTTGGTTCTATGTCCAGTAGTGGACTGTTATAGGCTGATGATGATGATATCCTCATTAGCACCTAGCTTACCTTTTCCGAACTAGCGCAATATATATATATACGAGTAAGTACATATATAGTTTGAAATCAAAGTTACATTGCAAAAGGTTAGCGGCTAGTCGCCTGACTAACATCAACCATCCTTGAATATGGAATAGTTTTTAGTGAGGATAAAGAAAGAAGATACTTCAATAAGAGTAAAATAGCAAAAATGAGTCGGGGCAAGACAACTGGGATAAGGGATAGCAAATATCAGAAGAGAAAACAAAAGAGAAGAGAAGCAAACGGGTGACCTGATGGTAAGTGATTACCGCCGCTAATGGACACCTGCAACTCAAGAGTCACAAGGTGCGCTGTTACCTTGTAAGTCGCCTCCCCTCACCCTCCTCCCCACCACGGATCAGCAAGGAGTTTGGGTTTTGATAAACTCACTCACTCACCAGCAACACGGTAAACAGCAACGAAATAATGCTTAACACTGTAATACTGTGTGGCCGTTGGTGGTATCACTCCAGTCGACATGACTCCATTTGTGTCGAAGCAAGGCTCGAAGAACCTGGATTCACTTCACCGTTTAGGTTAGAAAGTAAAACGGTTGTCAATAATGAATATAGGTTTATTTTGGCAGGTCCAAGACAACGGCTCAGATTTGGCGAGCGTTGACGATATGAATGTAGCTGCTGCAGCCAAGATATATAACCTGCATCCTGTGTTCCATGAAGTGTACGGCGACGATAAGACAAACAACTATGCTGTAGCTGTAGTGAAGAAGGGCACTTCGTATACCAAGATGGAAGATTTGAGGGGGAAAAGGTTAGTAGAGTATACAACATGACTTTTAAGATAAGAATCGTGACAATGCTTTTACTTCACCTTTTATAACGATAGAATTACTGTCAGAGATATCACAATTACCGGGCCTATTGGTCAAGTGGTTGGTAGTACTGACGGCAAAGCCAGAGTTCGGGCAGTCGATTCCCAGCCAGGACTAGTAATTATGTGATGAGCACGACCATTTTGTTCTGTATCTGGGTGTAATTTATCTATAATTTATATGTATGTATTGAGAAATATATAAGTATGCTTATAAGCAGTCTGGTTACCATAGTACAGGGTCTGTCTAGTTTGGGATCAGACTGCCGGGTGTGAGATGTGTCAGGTTATTATTATTATTTTAATAACTTTTTGTGTATCATACATACAATTTTTCTACCCAAGGGAAGGGCAAAATTATCTTTTAATAAAAACTCAACATTAGGTATCAGGATAAAAGATAATATGGAAATAGGGAGGTACTATAACCATATAATTAGGTGCAAGGTGTATTTTCAACCCATTTTACTGATTATTATTACGATTATTGACACCACAGAGCAAATACTTTTTCTGTGGTCACGGCCTTGTTATTTGTGTTACTTTTTGTATTTTTATTGTAAACAAATGTTACTAACAATCGAAATGAACAAGTGGGAGTCTGGTTTGCGCACCTAGGATTCCGTACAAACTTCTAAATAGATAAGTGGTCAGTATCAAGATTATTGCTCGTTTTTCTTTTTATACTCGCTCTGCCATTCGAAGATATATGGCCATAAATCAAAATACGTCTCAGTAACTTTTTAAAGAGCTACATATGCATTTGTAATAGCTGGCAGTGGCTTCTTGCTTTATTGGTAAGGTAAGGTAATAGAGGTGTAAAAAAACATTAATTTTTCTAGTAGAACTTTTACAGACTATGCAATTATCGTTTAGATGTTAATCAAGATTTATTTAATTTCGAAGTTCTAAGAACTAACTTTGATAAACCAAATAACTAATACTCGTCTAAGAACTTAAAAAACAAATGGATATACATTTGAACAATTAAAGTCTTTAAATATGTAACTAATAAATGAAACAAAAAGAAGCAGAAGTCACAAAACTCCTAAGTAATCAAGAAAATCAAAAGAATAAAAATGTAAGAGCTATACATGTAACTCTATTTTTGATGAGTGAAGAGAACATGTACGAGTATATTAAATACTAAGGGTATAGTGTCATCAGGCTAATAATTTGTGACTAAAATTTTGCATAGTTAAAAGGTATTTTAAGACTAACCGTTCCGCTAAGGGCCTCAGCATTATGTTACATAGTCTTTATTTGTTCTAATTTTATACACTATCTACCTAATAAAATAATACGGGATGGATGAAGGGGCGGCAGGTAACGGGAACAATTTGTTACTCCAGTTTCCCCTTAACACTGAAGGACAAATTTATTTATTTATTTTATTTTATTTTAATTCTTTTTGCACAAACAAAGTACAATGGCGGACTTAACGCCAAAGGCATTTTCTCCCAGTCTACCTTTGGGTGGTGGGGAAATGTCTGAGTAGGTGCATGAAATTAAAATTAGGTTACATACGTACTGAGATACACATACATATATATACTTGCTGAGTAATACATACAAGACTAACATAATAACATATAAGACTTTAGGGATGTGATGAGTCTGCTAAAGTGTCGAGAATTCGAGCTCGGACTTTCGTCTTAAATGAGAGGCGACTGGGTGCTATCCTGATTTCCAAAGACAGAGCGTTCCAGAGGAGGACAGATTGGGCTAAGAACGAAGAGTGGACTCAGGCGGAAGTATGAGTGGGGCATAACAGAAGTGGATTGTTTAATGAACGGAGAGTTCTGTTGTGATTGGCACATAGAAAATGGAATGAGGATGTTAGGTAGGAAGGGGAAATAGGTGAGTTGAGTATGGAATAGAGGGTGGTGAGGGCGTGCAGCTGACGGCGCTGACGAATCGTGAGCCAGTTCAATTCACGACGAGAGGAAGAAACATGGTCGTATTTGCGAAGGTTAAAGAGGAATCGAATGCAGTTATTCAGAAGGCGGTCGTATTTATTGCGGAGATATGCATTCAGGTCATAATAGCATACCTCACCATAATCCAAGATAGGGACAATAAGAGTCTGTACTAGCATCGCTTTTGTCTCGGAAGGAAGGCAGTTTATAAAAAATTATAAAATATGGTTCTAAAAGTTGGACCATTAAGAGAACGGACAAGAGACGCCTGAACCTAGCCGAAATGCGAATGCTGAGATGGATGTGGGATGTGTGGTGTGACTCGGATAGACTAGGTTAGGAATGAGTATATACGAGGGAGTCTGAAAGTAGCGCCACTGGAGGAAAAGTTAAGAATAGGTTATCTTGGTATAGACATGTCATGCGAGGGGATGATGAAAATGTGGCTGTGAAAGTTTTAGGTATGGGAGTTGAAGGGTACAAGAGAAGAGGAAGACCAAAGAAAAGGTAGATGGACTGTGTGAGAATATGGCTAAGAAAGTAAACAGTGAGGTGACACATGGTAGAGTAGAATGGAAGAATCATACTTACTGCGCCAACCCCAAATAAAATTGGGATAAGGGTAAGCAGATCATGATGGTGAAAAACAAAAAAAAATAGATTTATTGAATGCATTATAGAATATTACAGAGCTGTAGAAACTTTGTTGTAATAGCGAATTAGGTACATTCAAAACGACCTCTTTAGAAAGTTCCTCCATACCGGGGTGAAACAGCATTACCATCAGAAATTATTAAAGTCCCCAAAGCTCTGAAGAGATAACGTAAGAGTTTTATAATTGTTTATAAATAACAGAAACCATTAACTTTTACTTTATTATATAAAGAAAATTTGCATTAGAGCAAAGCAGGTGTTAACCATATAGGAGTTACGATTTTAACTGACAGTTTGCCACAAATAGTGCTCTTCACAGAAACAAAACCTAAGTACTCACCCGGTGTAGTATGTGCGAATTGTGAACAATGCCAACTACACATCAGGTACTTGGCTGCAGTCCAATCTCGTGAGTTACGATATTATGGAATAAGATCAACATCGGAACATCAGCTAGTTTCCTTCTTTTTTTATGTTAGAGGGGGCAGACGAGCAGACGGGTCACCTGATGGAAAGTGACCATCGCCGCCCATGAATGTCTGCAACTCAAGAGGTACAAACGCCTTGCCGGCCTTTTGGGAAGGAGTACGCTCTTTTCTTGAAGGTTTGAAGGTCATATCGGTCCGGAAATACCGCAGTCGATACCCGTTTCGCAGATTGGTTATGCGGGGCAAAAATTGTTTCGAAAAGCGCACAGTAGTGAAGCTCTAACTATCCAGGTGATGAGGATTAAAATTTGGCCGCGTTCAAACGGCGGAAAGTTGCAGCTGGTATTAGTTTGAACAATTCCTCGGAGCACTCTCCATGATATATATATATATATATATATATATGCGATAGAGAATGCAGAGTGAAGCCACATCTCTACCTAAAGCCAAGGGATCGAGTCGATCGGAGATGTTTCGGCTACTGTACTGAGGTGCCCCCGCATAGAGATGAGAACAGTATTCCACTGCATGTTGGACATGCAGTTGAACATACCGTATCCGACCAAACAACAGTAACTACCAATATTTCACTGTGACCTTGTTTATGTGTATCTGTCAAAGAAAGACAGAAAAAAAATCTTAAGTAACTCATTTTTACATTTTCAGATCCTGCCACAATAGTTACGGAACATTCAGCGGGCTGGTCGCTCCTTTGTACTACCTCATCAATAAGAATTTAATCGGTCATGACCAGGTAAACATATCTTTGCATGAACTCAAGTCACGTCACGCCAAGAAGCTAAAAAGACGTGCTCCACAAGACCTGACTGCATGAAGAGCTAGCGCCAATTTGGACATATCATCATATACTGTGCCACACACGCCCGTTACTCAACTCATTAAAATCCAGCTCAATGTCGTAGAGACAGATTGCAGGACAAAATACAGTACAAGTTGCCAGCCTTTTTTTTAAATACAATTAAAATTAAGTATAGACGAACAAACATCGTCACAAACGAAAAAGAGGTTGCTGTATTAATGTAAATATAAAAACTAAAAAAAAAACAGATAATAAGCGTCTGCTTGTGTCATTCTATAAACGTCTTTTTCCAAATGGCTGAGCCTTGTGAGATAAAATTGAGCAAAGTTAACACAACTCTTTTAATTCAGAAGATTGTTTAGGCAAATTGTATTACAGCACTGTTTTATAATGGGTTATTATATTATTCAGATTATTAGTAAATTAACTTAAATTTGGCCATAATAATTAAGAAACAGGCAAATAAGGAATAGGTACAAAAGCATAACAAATAGAAAATAAGTAATACATTAATATCATGAAACGCACTTTCTGTAGGTAGGTATAACTTTGATAGAGTTTCATAGTAGCGGGTGGCCTGGTTTACTTGCTGTCCAGTGTACTTCGAAAATCGGCGAAAGATTATTTTTACTAAATGTATATAGACAATTTACCATTTTCTTTTCCACTTAATCCAAATAAATTACGCCGACCGAGACTCGTACCTATTAGAATGAACTCATAGCAGCAATCCATACTAATTTTATAAATTTAAGTGAGTTTGTTTGTTACTCTTTCACGCTTAAACCACAGAATCGATTTTAATAATTCTTTGACCAATGGTAAGCTACATTATCAGCAAGTAGCATTGGCTATTTTAAACCGACATACACTCGGGTGGAGCCGCGGTCAACACCTAGTAGTAATATAGTATAAAAAATGCCAAACAGCCAAGGAAGGCCTTTATTATCAAATACTGAGGGAATCGTTACAATTTTAGCCAACTAATTATTGGTTATTATATATTTTACACCTTTTTACTAATATCTACTGAAATAAACTTGTAAAATCTATCGTTCGTTTACTAGATAAGATCGTTTGGAAATTCTTAACACAATACTTACGAACCTACTTACTAACAAGTTCCTCCAATATTTTCTAGTACACGAAACTTTCTGTTCCACATCAATATGTTCTTATTACAGTGCATCAAAAACTTCGGCGATTTCTTCTCGGGTGGCTCCTGTTTGCCCGGAGTCGATAAGTTGGAAAATAATCCAAAAGGTCTGTTGTACAAGTTAAATGAATTTATTTTACCTATAGCACATATTGAAAGAAATTTCTAAGTAATAGTAGGAAATTATAGAACTATATTCTAGATAAGTGATTCGATCTTAGGATTTATCCCCTATGTTTCTATGTTTTCTGTCAACGTGTTTTATTTCACAGGTGATGACGTGTCAAAGTTGAAGAAGCAATGCTCCGACGACAGCAATCCATCGAAGTGTCTCCAAGAAGACCGCGGCGACATCGCTTTTGTTGCAAGTTAGTAATGAAATATATCACATTATGCAGAAAATTATTCAATGTGGAAAAGTCATCTTATAAAACATATGTTGATAAAGTATAAAGAAACAAAAATAGTTCTCTGATTTGGAAATTGAACCACTGAAGTTCGATTTTCGAATCAGAGAAATATTTTATTGGGTAAACATATTCCTGAAAACAAAACCCTGATTGGTCAAAAAACTCAATATTTTTTGATGACATAAATACACCGAAATACTTATATAATTTATTTTCCAGGTGCCGATCTATCCTCCTTTGACAGTTCAAAGTACGAGCTCCTTTGTCTGAACCGTGACGCAGGAGGCAGAGACTCCTTCGCAAACAATGCGACTTGCAACATAGTTAAATCTCCCTCTCGCACTTGGCTGGCCGCCAAGGACTTCCTCTCAGATGTATCCATAGCGCACACACCCTTAAGCTTGGCACAGCTCTTAGATACAAGGACTGACCTGTTCAATATCTACGGAGAATTCTTGAAGAATAATAATGTCATATTCAATGTAAGTATCAGTAGTACCTTTTTTTTTTTTTTTGTTGACGCAGTGGAAAATCCCTTCGGATCTCCGGCTCCTTGGGGAGGAGGATAGGAGCCAGGAGTATGTGGTGATTCCACTAAAAACCACTCCGACGGCCAGCCTTAGGCGCCCTGCTCTGGGGAGAACCCGGGCCATGTGATTTCAGGTCCCCCAGATCGACGCCGCACCTAGCTAGGTCCCATCTCAGGGAAAGCCAGTGGCTTCTCCCTGCCTCTCAGCCTATCCAGATGTTGCAGCCCGATCACATTTTCAGTGCGATCAGGCTGCCATCCTTTCCCCTACCGCAGCATTAATCTGCCACCAGAGGTCCCCACTCTCTGGCGGCCCGCGGTCCCGTCGGCTGCTTATTACGTCGTCGACGTCTTCTTCGCTCGGGATCGGCCCTCTCCCGATCCCGTTCAGCGGTCTCTTTCTGGAGCAATACAGCTTCACAGAAAGAGACCACTGCGCCCCAGCCCTCCTCACCCGCCAGCATGGCAGTAATGATTGCTGGCGGGGACAAGTCTCGTCCGATTTCATCGACCAGGACTTCGCGTTCGGATACGCGGGGCAAGTATCAGTAGTACCTAGTGGTAGTACAGTAATAAATAAGCACAGTAATAAAAGAAATCCATGTGGTGACGGATTAAGAATACAGAGTGTCACCATCCCTATTCATCCCGTGGGTGTCGTAAGAGCCGACTCAGGGAAAAAACTACGCAGAACAACAGCACTGCAGAGAGAAGGAAAACTTGACACAAACCCTATACCAACCCGTCTGGCCAGCGTGGTATAGTAGGCCGAAACCTCCTTTCTAAGGAGAGGCTTTTGTCCAGCAGTGGACTATTAAAGACTGTTGATGATGATGAATGAAAGAAACCAATAATTCTGAAAGTTATATTTCTATTGAATGAATAATTGAGTGACATTAGGTAATTTTCCCGCCATTTGGCATGGCTCCTCGACCTAGGACGTGCCTACAAGAATCTGTAACCTGATACTGATACATTACATCAAGGTTTTATTATTTTAAACCTACTTCAAAATCAGTTCGTAGGATTTGTTTTTAACTCAGACCTGTATTATTTATAAACCAATGTGCCAACTTATTTTTTTTGAAAGGGGGATACTATGTAGATCCGTTCATATTTGAAGAAAAAATCCATCGCTAATGGTGAAAATCAAGAATACAGTTTATTACAATTCATCTTAATGTGTGTATATTGTAGTCCTCATACTTTTTTTAAATACCGAAGATAAAGAAATTCAAACTTGTCTTCACGTGCTAAACGTAATCAATTGATGGGAACTATTTTAATAACATGAAGAAAAATAGTCTATAGTCTATTCTACTTGGCCTACCTGAATTTATTCTTTAAATGTGAATTCAATAATACAGTTTTTGTTTCAAATGATTCTTAACTATTTTTATTATCAATGAAACATATAAGTAATAAACAATAAATGTTGTTTTGATTTATTCGCAGAATGCTGCTAAAGGTTTAGCCACAACTGAAAAATTGGACTTTGAGAAATTTAAGCAGATTCATGACGTCATTAAAGGGTGTGCCGCCGCCTAATAGCGTTAAAGTCCTCCATAACTTAATATCTAAGAATACTAACCAAATATTGATTAAAATTACCTATAAGGTGTACCTACTTCTGGATAACTAATGATTGTTGATATAAATAAACATACAACTTTTTTTAAATAAAAACAACTTTCTAAACAATATGTATGAAGAATTTAATTAAATATTTTAGACATTTTAGATAAGTCTTTGTTATTATACCTAACATTGATATATAGTAAATAAGACATACTAACAACAAATGAAATGATTAAATAAGGCTGATAAACATTTTTATTCATCACAATACATGGCTAATAAATTAATAATACCCACGTCGTAACAGTATTTTTTTCGTAACATAATAACCTCTATTTCACTACATATATTTATAAAGCAGCTAAACCCAATGTCATAACCGCTGCAACTGCCAGCATGGTATAACCAGTGCTGTAAACCTCCTTAATCGACAACCCTTTAGCTGTGTCCCAGTACAAATGTCTGATACCATTAGCAAAGTGGTAGCCGAATGGAGCGGCAAGACAAGCCTTGACTATAAACAGTGTTGCCGGCGACAGGTTCATACTTTCAATGATGGAGATATAGTGAGAAATATCATGTGGCAACACCAAGGCTCCAATGCCGAGGGCACTGAAATATCCAGTCAACAGAATACCTGAAACAAAGATGTTTATTAAGACAAGAGAGAACATCACAAATCAATCATAAACTCTAACTCATTGAGGGAGGCCTATGTGCAGTATTGGATATCTTATTGTTAACATGGGACAACACTTTGTGTGATCCACAAATTGTTGTTCTGAGTCTGGGTGTTCTTTGTGTCCGTTTCATGTATGTTTGTAAAGGCCCCGGGGACACAGGATATATTGCCAGTGCGGGAGTTGTCTTTTTAAAATAAAAAAAATGAATAATAAGTTAAGCTAACTAAGCATGGTACAGTAATGTAGTGCTCAAATAAACAAAAATTTAATTTCAATTTTAATGCATAATTCATAGGACTAAAGACCGTCTGGCAGTCTGTTTACAATGTTACTTTTTTTACCAGTATAACTTGCAGTGTTATTGTATACAGTTTTGTACCATGGCAGGTCAAGATGAATATACTTTATATATTATATACTGTAACGGTGCATTTCGCACCATTACAGTAATTTGAACCTTAGTCTCGTTTTTGTTTTGTTAGGTTGAATTTTTTGTCGTTTCTGCGTGTGCCGATGGTCGGGGGACGGACGAGAGTAATAATCGATGTTGTTCGCCCGCGATTAGTTAGTCGATTTAGTTTTTCTTGTCCTGGCAACATTTTTGTTTCCCCGCTCTATGGAGCGAGAGGCTATTGCACTGGTATCACTTTGACTTTCACTTTTGGACCGGCCGCCGAGTGAAATGAAGCAAAGCAAGTTTTGTCATATAATTTTTTAGTGATCCGTATTTATTTGATATGGACGAGGGCCTATTTCCTCTTTAAATGTTTGGCCAACCTAGTTAAGACTCGAGCTAGTGGATCGAGTGATTATTTTTGTTGAAAAGGTGGGTTTTGTTCGGCCACGTGTTTCACGCTTGGCTTGGCGGAATTTGTGGTTTTAACTCTTTGTTTAATTGGTTACAGGCAATGCTTATAATGCTTATAATGCCGCTGCTTGATTTGTGAAGCATTTTGGGACCCTGGTAAGTGAAATATGATTTCTTGTCAGGGTTATGATTCCTCTTGTGAGATGGGCTTTTAACCTATAATTTTTCCTTGTTTGCAGATGAATCAGGGTTTTTAGTTTATATCTAAATTTCTTTACTTTCTTATTAGAATGTCATTGGTGGCATTCGGTTTTTGTCTCTCGCCGTCCTAACCCCAAGAAATTGGTTTGCTGTGGAGCGCCAGAATGGTAGAAAAAGCTGCTTAGCTGTACGCCGTTGTCTGGAGCCTGGGAGTGCTGACCCGCCTCTTCCACCACGTGGGATCCGGAGTGAGAAGTTTCGGAGTTGGTTTGATTTTATTTCATTCGGACTGATCCAAGGTCATTGGTTTGTGGTATGTGTTTTTGTTATATTTTTCTTGGCGACGTGGCATTGAACACTGCAGGTCCCCAAGGGGTGTTATTTTTCATTAGAGAGTAGGTCAATGCTATGTCTACCCTTAGAGTTTACTGTTTTGTCTATTTACTCTTTATGTGACTCTTTAAAATTTATTTAACCTTATATTTTTCTTATTGGAAAGGATTGCATTAATGACAGTACTAATTTGTGTATAAGAATTACCTAATGTAATTAGAGACATAAGACACAATGTACTCTACAGACACTACGGGATAATAAACTGCCATTAGAACTGAACATCTTGTATTCATTAGCTGCCTCCCGCTTTGTTTTAAAAAGGTTCAATGTTGGCTGAGATGTCCGAGGTATTTGTTGTGTTTGTGGTGGGTTCTGTGTTCTTTTAAGGTGGTATCTGGCGCCCGAGACTTTTATTTTGTTATTTTGTTTCTATTTGATGCCACCAATTTAGTTTTTATTTCTTTATAACAAACCCACAACACACAATTTAAATTTTTTTATTTTTTATTATTACAATACTTTACTATAGTTTACATACTTTGTAACTAGATAGCACATATAGTTATGTGCTATCTAGTTACTAATGTCAATATAGATAAATAATTCTAAAAATGATAAATTCCATTCACCATTTTGTTTAAAAGGGTGGACTCCTTTTAAACAAAATGGTGAATTTTCTTCACCTATTAATAATTAGATTTACTGTTGATTAATAAAGATTCTACAAATAATATAATTAGTGCCATTATGTCTGGTTAATTTGAAAAGGTGGCCAGAATTTATTATTATTATTTTATTTGGCAATATATTGTGCTATTTTATGGTGTTCATAATGGGTTTAGAATTATTTAAACTGTTAATTTAAACACTATTTGTAAAATAGAGTTTAATTGCGGAATTCCTATGATCACCCAGGCTCATAACAACAAAATATAGATTAGCACAACGCAGTGCAAATTCGAATTTGAATTTTTTTAATAAGACCTTCATAGATTTCTGCAATTAATTTGCAGAGAATGATCGTTTAAAATCATGGAGTGTCAGAGTCATGGAGTAAAGTTTAAAACACAACTTATTATGTATTATGTCTACATAAACACAAGTTATAATCTGCTGATTCTCACTATTTAGTCTTACTGCTTCTTACCTGCAATCAAGGTCAATTTGGTCAAAATTGACACTGTAAAGACACTGTAATTGTTTTTAATAAATAAAAAAAAAAAAAATAATAAAAAAAAAACAGGTCCCTTCTACTCTCAATGTCACAAAAGTAATAACAGGTATTTTCATACTAAAGTATTTAACATCCAACATTGACTGTAATGTAAATATCATACTAGCTATCTGCCCCGGCTTCGCACAGATGCAATGTAGATACTATTAATGTGGTGTCAGTGTAGAGTAATTAATTATTCTATTCATTTCATAGGACTATACTACAGGACATCTTTATATGCAATAGTTATAGCCCCGCTCCGCTCCTGCTGGCCGCTTTGTCCCCACATTTTAAACCTCTAATATCTTCTTAAATATTTATTTTAATGATATACTGTACAGAGCAATTTTAATCTACATTAAATGCACAATATATATAACATATTTAATTGGATAAGGAATTACAATGTACTGTTTAAAATAGTTTCATAACTAACCCATTATTTTTTGTAATATTTAATAGATAAAAATGGTTACTGTGGGTTATCCTTAGGAGATAGATATATACCGCACACTTTTTGTGGCTCTTTTTAAGATATACACTTCCAAAGTACATTATTTTACTCTATCTCTTAGGGATTAGCCAGTGCTTGCAATGTAAGCGCTCAAAACCATGTTTTTAAGACAAATCTTTTAAATTTTCTCTTCTATAATATGCATGTATTATACATATAAACCTTCCTCGTGAATCACTCTCTCTATTGGTGAAAACCACATTAAAAGATCTAAGCTTACAACAAAAAAAGCAACTTTATTTTATACTAAGTAAAGATTGTGACTAAAAGTTAAATTGGTATTCTGCTACTCTTAGTAATACTTTACTTTACTTTACAATTTTTCTACGAAAATCCCTTTCATGATATTTGTGAGATCAAGAGTAGGTCAGAACTGAATTTTTATTATGAGAAATGGCCTTCTGGTGGTGAATAACACTTGTGTAAAACTTTATAGCAGTCAACTAGTACATTTTATTTTCAATCTTATGATTATTAGCATATAATATCCTAAGTCATTATTAGCTCATTAGACATATAATATGAAATAAAATACTCACCAGATGTTCTATGGGTAATGGACAGCACAGTGGTCAACTGAATGGAGTAGATGGTGAGATGAGGCGATAATGGCCGCTGGAGTTTCTCATTTCTGATGTCAATATGTTCCTCTACAGGCGGCTCAAATTTCTTGTACACGATTTTTGGTACACCTGCAGCAGCTTGAGCGTAATTTACACTTCCTACTAATGAAGGAAACCTGTTCAAAGTAGTGAGCACAGGCCTGCTGCTCAATCTAGAAAAATTACAACAAATTATTAGAAAATTACAATTTATCTTCAATAACCCTTGTTACATAATTAGTCAATTTACCTCATACAACTGAAAAGTGCCATGTTTTCTTCACAGTGAATTAATGAACGCGTAGACTTCTGCAACAATAGTAATTGTTGATAATATAATATTGTATAATAACAACACCGAAACTAAAATACTCACCACTGAGTCTGACGAACTTTGACAGATAGAATTAGAGTTGTGTAGCTCCTGAGTGAGTGATATAAAAGATATATATCATTCACGACGATAAAATGTATCACTCACTCACACTAGCTCCGAATATATCAGTAACTCACTACTAGCTCACTAGATCACTAGATCACTAGCTCAACGACGCCTATCTATGTTTCATGAGCGAGTGAGACTAAAGATAAATGAGTGAGATAGATGATGGTTGAGTTCACGCAGGTTTGTTTATGCAAAATGTACATTATTTCTATAGGATCAAAGTTTAATATTACTTAAGCATTAAGCCAAGTACAAGGAAAATTAAATTATATATGATTTCTATTATACAACCTAAAAAAAGTACAAGAAATAATTTCTTATTTTTAATTATTATGTAAAAGGATGTTAATAATTATGTAATCTTATCAAAATGAATAAAATTGTATTTAAAAAAAATAGGTCAAAAATGTAGTTTCAAAAACTGAATTAATTTTATTTAATATGAAAGTTAATATGAAAATAAAGAAAGGTTTGTATGGCGAGAGAGGCTTAAAGTGAGTGATATACGAGTATACTGAGCTAAACGATCTAGATGAAGAAATGAATTAATAGTGAGACCAATCAATTGAATCGGATCAATGAGCTAGTGAGCTAAATGAGTTAGTGAGCTAAACGAGTTAGTGAGCTAAATGAGCTAGTGAGCTAAACGAGTTAGTGAGCTAAATGAGCTAGTAAGCTAGATGAGTGATATATATCTTTTGAGCGAAATGATATATATCAATCTTTTCAGCTCTGTGATACATTTTGCGCATCACTAGATAGAATCGTATTTACTTTCTCGTATCAGTCAGACGTCAAGCATTGTTTTTGCACAGATAATCAACAACTTAAACAGTTTCTCCTTACAAAAAGCTGTTTAGCTAAGATTCTCTATTATCAATACATTGTACTTAATTTTAATACAACTTATTAATAGAATGTTTCAAAATTATAGGAAAGGCCTTAAAATTTCATTTTGTAGAAAACAAATCAGATTTGTTTAAACTACAGATCAGAAAATAAGAATGGTGAAAAACATTCCGATTCAAGTTACTTTTTCGCTTTTTTGTTGCAGTAATTTATTTGAATAAATTTATGATTGATGGTAATGATTTGAATATAGTCTACGTATTTCATAATTATTTATAAGAATTTGTAAAAATATATAAACTTAAACATAAACGAGAAATATATTTTGCAATCAAACATGCCTGCTAATGTCTTAAATGAAATATCGCGTGTAGTGAATAGTGTTTCGTGTTTATGTCACTTATCTGTGAAAAACTGTTTGTTTTTCGTGTGAAAGGAAAATTTAAATTAAACCTAAGAAACAATTTTAAATGCTGCCACGCGCCTTAGTCTTTTTAATTGCGACGAATGTTGTTAAACTAAATCACTGCAATGGTTAACAAAGCAGTCGACTTTGAAGTATTTGGCAAGGTCCAAGGTGTATTTTTTAGAAAGGTTAGTAGACTCAATGTTTAGCAATGTATAGCAATAAAAAACATGTATACTAAATAGTATAGTAATTTATTTTCGTAAAATGTCGCATTGCAAATTTTTATTTTAATTACTTGTATGGTTTAAGATTTATGAAAGAGACTAATTAATAGAATTTACCTAATAAGAGTCTTTAGTACCTAGAAAAACAGTTTTTCGTGTTAAAGGAAAATTTAAATTAAACCTGAGAAATAATTTTAATGTGCTGTTTGAACTAAAAAATACTATGTTATGCAATATTTGAAACCTTATCTTAATTGTAAAAACTCTAAAATGAAATAAGCAAAGCTATGTATTTTATAAAGACCAGACTTGCTTTGTACTACCACATGTTTTGTACTTGTTATAGTGTGCTGCATCTACTAAAACTTTGTGGTAAATTATCTCTCAATATTTTATTATTATACTATATCTCCTACACACAGTCCTATGAACAGTCTGTTAACCAAATTAAAATTTCTTTGTTGATAATTGAAAAAAATCTTGTTGAAAAGACTGGTAACATAACAACTAGACGGCCTGGGTATTCTTCTGACAGATGAGGTGGAGGTTACAGAAAAAATTGTTGCCCTATGTGAGTGAATGTGCTGCTGGATCAGACTGAACACATGGCACCATATTGCAGTGCTTGTAATACCACTACCTTATTATATTAGTAATCTCAATCTATCTATCTATCCTCCACAATCTATCCTCCAGATAAAGATAGGGTTCTTTAAAAATGGGTAAATTTGCCAGCAACTATAGACCTAAGGCGGTGTTGCCAACCCTATGTTAGGTACTGAAACAGATTATGCACTGCTGACTCAACAACTACTTAACCTAGAACAATATAATAATAATAATAACTTCACACCTCTCACACACGGTTGTCTGATTTCTAACTAGGCAGTCTGGCTGAGCAGTCAGGGTCACTAACCACTAGACCGGGTCACTAACCACTAACAGACCCGTCAAATATGGCTTCAGATCTGGCATGTCAACGTCCAGTGCAGTTTTGACTGCACGGATGGCGTAGTGGTTTCAGGGGTCGCCACGCCGCTTAGTACTACGCTGAGTGTTGTGGGTCCGATCCCCACATGGGACGACACTTTGTGTGATCCACGAATCCACGAATTGTTGTTCTGAGTCTGGGTGTTCTTTGTGTTCGTTTCGTGTGTATTTGTGGAGTCCCCCGCGACACACGATATGTTCCTAGTGCGGGAGTTGTCATTTAAAAAAAAAGAGTTCATGACCTTACAAATTAGAATATCCCCAACCTAGATAGAGGCTAAAAGGTCATAGGAATCTTTCTAGATCATGCCAAGGCCTTTGACATGGTTTCGGTCCCTATACTCATCGAGAAAATGGATCATCTTGTAATTAGAAGTTTTCCATTTAGGCTGTACGAAGACTACATTATTGAGCGAACCTAGTGCGTTAAGGTTGACGTGTATATCAGTGACGAGTGGCTAGTCACATACGGAGTGGCTCAAGGTAGCGTGATTGGCCCGACCCTCTTCCTCATTCTCGTTTATGTAGATAAAGGACCCGGGTCATCTGTGATAAACGACTTTTAAACATAACTACTTTCGCAGATGTCGCTGCACTCCTATTCAATATAAGTTATTGGTTGCAAATTGATGTACTCACCGAACGTAATATAATGCTGAATAGCTTGCAGGTGACATCTGGGGCGCTATACTATGGGGATCTTGTGTCAACTAGGGTGAATTTCCGTGCGTTTAGGCGATTCTGCCATACATATTATAGAAATCAAACATAGCTCACGTAGGACCCGTAATATTTGTGGCCGTGGTGCTTCCCTGTTTAAAAGGGTGTATGCCCATTTTACTTCATTTTGTCTCCCACTTTGCTAAGGAGGGAAGTGGATTTACTGTATTTCCAACTCCTCCAATTTTCTTCTGATTAATTTCGTTGCGGGTTCCAAGACAGTTTAATTTCTTCCTGGGACTTCCCGAGTGTCATAACTCGGTGTGTTCGTGGGTCACTGCTGTGGATCCTGGTGTACAGGAGTTACAGTGGTGGGCTGTGGGTGGGATTAGTCCCATGATGTACTCACTACAAATGCGACTAAAACACAATATGTCACTTTTACAATAACACAGGACAACTTACCACCACACTATCGTATCCCACTCGTGTCCTAAACCTCACAATATTACTTAAGTGCTCTTGCGTACATCTTCAGAAAGCCGATGCAGTGAAATATCTTTGAGTAATAATGAATATTTGCCTTCGTTTCCATGTGCATGTATCTGCCCTCAGTGGCAGAATGCGCAATCTGATCTGCGTATTTAAGAATCTAAGGGAAGTGGTGAAAAGTTATAGCGATCCGTTTATTTCGCCCTTGCTATTGAGCTATTGACGTACTACATCACTTCCAAGGCGCACTCTTCTAGAGTTAGAAAGAGCCCAAAGGGGAGGTTTAAAGTTTTCTTTATCCCTACCGTTCATATATCCTATATACAAAAAACCTAAAGTTCTTATAATAAGTCAGTTGTACATTAAGCTAATAATCTTAATGCAGCACAGTACGAGGGTGGTCTGAAAAGTTTCCGACCTAACCAAGATACAAAACCTTTTTTCATTATTATTTTTCTAGTTGTAACTCTACACACTTCTCCCAATGCTCCCATCTCTGTAAATAGTACTTGGCGTTTTTCTCTGCAAAATAATTGTTCACGAAGGTGATTGCCTCTTCATTTGACGAAAATCTCTGAGCGCAATTTTTCGCTTGGGGCTAGATCTGGTGAGTAAGGCGGATGGTCAAGCAGTTTAAACCGTAATTCGTGGATTTTCGCCATGGCAACCGCTGAGGTGTGAGACGTGCATTGTCTTGGTGAAACAGGATTTTCTTTTTCTGCAAATGTGGCCGTTTTTCCGCAAGTTCTGCCTTCAGCTTGTCAAGTAATGATGCGTAGTATGCTTCTGTAAAGGTTCTCCTCCATATCCTTTTAGGAGATAACCCATTAAAATAACTCCATGACTATCTCAAAAAAACAGTCGCCATCACTTTCCCAACCAAACAACCAGTTTTTGCCTATTTTGGAGTCGGTTCCCCCTTTGCAGTCCACTGTTTGGACTGTATTTTTGTTACGGGCGTATAATGGTGTTTCCAAGTTTCATTTACAGTAATTAATCGGCGCCAAAACTCGGATTTATTGCGCCTAAACTGCACCAACAGAGCGTTGGAAATGTTCATTCGAACACGTTTTTAGTCTAACGTGAGCAAACGCGGCACCCAACGTGCGGACAGCTTTCTCATGTCTAAATGTGTCAAACACGTTCTTTTGACATCATAACCTCTGCTATCTCTCTCACTTTAATTCGGCGGTCGATGAATGTTCGGGACATCCAAAAACTGCAACTAATTCGGCGGTCGATGAATGTTCGGGACTTCCAAAAACTGCAACTACCGACGAAAACTAAACGACTGTTACATAACAACAACAATAGTATAGGTTGCTACTTCAACCCTCAGCCTTGCATATCTTTAATTATTGTATTATTAATAACGGGTTCACCAAACCCGTTATAATTAAAGTAAATGAATAAATTTTCAAAATTATTTTTTTATTCAATGAAAGGTCATGAAGTCAAAATCTGATGACAGAGTAGCAAGCGGCGCGGCTACCGCTTAAACCACTACGCCATCTGTGCAGTCATAAATTTCATATGTATGTTTGGTTGTATTCTTTCAAGTTATTCAGGTGAGCCACTTATTTAGATGGGACATACTGGGAGTATATCGGCAACTTAAAGTTAAAACTTAAACTTAAACTTCATGACCTTTCATTGAATAAAAAAGTAATTTTGAAAATTTATTTATTTACTTTAATTACAATAATTAACGACATATATACATCAACACAAATAAAAACAAAGATAAAATAAAAAATAACTCGCCCCCCGCCTGGTCACAGAATCGCAAGCATACTAACATTATATTCGGCCATCCATCCGCAAACAAATCACAGTCGGGATTCGCACGCAGGACACCTTTGAGGTATGGCTATGGGTGACTTAGCGCGTGCGACGGTGCGATATGATGACAAACTACATATGAGCCCGGTTGCGAAGGTAGTTATTGGGCATTGGTGCATCAACTTTCCCTCTAAAAAAATGTGACACCCAAGTCCTTTATGGAGGTTGAACGTTGTGGCCATTTAATTTATAGTCGTACTCTATTGGATGCCGCACACGACCGATGTCATAACATGGCTTTTAGTAGGATTGAATTCCATGCCGTTCTCGTGGCTCCACTGAAATACAGCGTCAATGTCCTGCTGTAAAGCTAAGCAGTCAAGCACCAGACTTCACTTCAGTGAAAATTTTGAGGTCGTCGACATACTTTAAGCACCTATTGTGTATACAATGGATGGAATAATCGGTGAACTTACATAAACAAAATCCATACAGTGGAACATAGAACCTCATCCTTTTTAAAGTCGGTTAAAGTCAATAAAATCTTGTCAATTTATAAGCTGCAAAAGATAAAATACAAAATGAAATTAACTGCTTGGCTCTCAGATCTAACCTACGAGGACACTGAAAAGATGATTACTGTCTTAGTATAGATATGGGACACAACGATCTTGCACGCTCTTTTATATACACACACATACACACACACACACACACACACACACACACACACACACACACACACACACACGCATAGACTCATTCACATACATTACATAAGCCCTTATATAAGAACAAACTAAATTGAATTATATCTACACATATTTATATAGGTACAAATATACCTCCAAAGACACAAACTTAATAAAAATGTATACGATTAAGGAGGGGACTGATGTCCTGAAATACAGGCTCTGAGCCTAGCTTAGACCCCAGTCTCCCATAGTAATACATAATATGTTGTAATAATTCTTGTGCAAGCTATCTTTATTATTCCGTGTGGTGACAGATTAAGAATACAGAGTGTCTCCATCCCTATTCATCCCGTGGATGTCGTAAGAGCCAACTAAGGGAAAAAAACTACGCTGAACACCAGCACTGCAGAGAGAAGGAAATCTTGACACAAACCCTATACCAACCCGTCTGGCCAGGGTGGTATAGTAAACCAAAACCTCCTTTCTAATGAGAGACTTACGTCCAGCAGTGGACTATTAAAAGCTGTTGATGTGAAGCTATACATCTGTAAAAAAGTATTGTGGCGTGATAATAAATGTTTTTTTATTGTTTTTACTTAATAGTGATGGCCTGGTGATCCAATTTTAGTATTTAGATTCAATTCAATTCGTTTATTGCTCTCCATAATATATATATGTATATAGCAAAGTTTTCACACATTTTGAGCAATGGCAACAGAAACTGAGCTACACCAACCCCAAATCATGTCAATGATAATTGCACTTTAGGATGATGCCGAAATGAAAGAAGTAAGAGCAGTTCAGAGGGTTATTTAAATGGCAAGAATAGAAAGATAAACTTAATTATTAGATCCAGTCGAGTCGAGATATTTTCGACATTTTATCAGAAATCAACAAGATGTTTTCCAGCAGTCGAGTCGTAGTGAATACATTACGTAGACTGAAAATGCATTATTTTTTAAATAAAATTTATGAAAGAGGTTAGTGTAGTCAATTTTCATTTTTCTTAAAATGTGACTTATGTCATTACAGAGATCTGCGTCCAACGCATTCTGTTTTTAATATTTACACTTTATATGTAAATATTAAATCTGTCTTGTACAACTTTTTTATTTGGTGTTACTCTCAATGGAAGTACTTCACGACGGGCTGTGTCAAAAGTAAAACTAAGCCAGAGCACCAGCAAGAGCGTCCTTCTGTGTCGTTAAATGTTATTCATTTCAATGAACAGTTACCGGAACGTAGTCTTCCCGGGTTACATGAACATCGCCCCGTTTTGTACAACCTCGTAGCTGTTGATTTTGAAGTGTATGGCAAGGTGCACGGCGTTCATTTTGAGGAGGTATTATATTCATTCTTTTTGAAACCACATTGTACCTTACAGAATGCTTTGTGTGTGGACTTATTCTACCAGAAATTTTACCAATTTAAATTGTTGAAAGGCTGCGTCTTTGATAACAAACGGCAACAGGATGATTTTCATCTAGCTGGCCCTTTTGACACTAAACTGTATACGACCAATACTGGGCTATCCAACAGCACTAGGTTTACTACAGTCTTCACAAATTTTTTCATTGCTTTCATTCACAATATCCTAGACATGCTGTGTGTAATTCCTGATTTTTTGTTACTACGTTGGTAAATAAACACATGCCTTAGAATAGTTAATGATGCCGCAAAACTATTACAACTACTATGGTTTGATCACTCTCAATTAAATTGAAAAGTTTTAGTGGAGAATTCATCAAAATTAACTGTGTAAAATCCAATAAAAAATAATGAGCCCAAAAGAGTAATTGGAAAAAAATACGTTTAAAAATATACATATGTAGAAATATTAAATTTAATAGATAGATAGTTAAGTAGTTATTTTCATACTACGATGTTGGAGAAAACCTTATTCTGCTCTGGGTGAATGCCGCCGATATTCATCTTCATGATGCAAAAGAGGGCTATCCGGCCAAAAATAACTTAGATAATAATTAGGCAGAAACATAATGTTTTCAGAACGTCAGTTAAAATGTGTTTACCTTCATAAAAATAAAAGATCAGTCCTGTAAAAATACATGATATACATACATTCTTGTTAAAAGCTGTATAAATATAAAAAAAAGAAAAAACCGAATTCACGGAAAATGTGTGAGATGTCTCTTTTAAAAAGAGAGTAAGAAGGCAACTTTGTTTTATATTTGCAAACCTATGGATTACCACGCTACCAGCTATAAGGTTAATATGTGACGTACAAGGTGTCAATGGGAAGCGGTAGACGCTTACCATCAGATGTCTGCCTCGTTTGTCCCCCCATATAAAAAAACACTGTTGAGGTATGACGCCTGACAATGATGACAAAAATCTCCACAGTGCGTTACCGCCCTGTCCCTCCTCAGTCACTCATTGTAAAAGAAAGAAAGAACTGATTTCTGTGAGGCCGTTGTGTCACTCCGGTTGAGCCTGCATATTATTTGCCGAAGCATAGCTATAGCAATTAAACTGTCACTTAACTCCTACTAGCTTCATTCCATCGAGTGCTGGCGCTTCTCAAGCCGAACCCTGTTTCTTGAGATACTTGTGAATACTCTCTGTATGAATACTCTAAAAATGTTATTTTGTCCGCAGTTTACGAAAGAACAAGCAGATAAGCTAGGTGTTCGAGGCTGGTGCATGAATACGGCACACGGCACTGTACAGGGACAATTACAAGGATCGGAGGACAACATACAAGCCATGTATGTATCTTATCCATGTAATTATTATTATCCTATCTCACCAGTATTATCTCTTTTTGGCTATAACTAAAGCTTGCAGTCTTCTAAAATATTACTGAGGTTGAAATCTATAAATGTTAAGTTTCCAATAATGTCTTATTAATTTAAAAAAAATCAACAATATTTTAAAATTACTTCTCTATAAAATTGTCAATGAGCCAAGGCGTACGTCCAAGATAAATAAGATTATTTCATTATAATAATGTTCAATCCCAATGTACCCAAAAATATATTTCGCCACTTCAAATAAAAATAAATATTTACTGAACCTACCTCAATTTGACCTGAACACGTTGATTAGACATGAATAAATATTTAATTTCCGGTACAACAATGCGACTAAGAATACAAGTCAGGAAAAATCCTCTCATTGTCCTTTTTCTATCTTTACAGGATGAATTGGTTAAAATCGAAAGGTAGCCCAGCCAGCGAAATAGAGAGGGCTGAATTTCGGAATCAACAGAGTATCCTAGAGTTGACTTTTAACGATTTTACGATCCGTCGAGAGTAGAGTTGGGCAGTGCTTAAATATCTAGCTAATTAGAGGGGGAATTTGAGTTTTGTATTTCTTATAGGTTATGTATGATGCGGTGTCTATTAGAAACCGTGGTATATGCCACTTGATATATTCCTTGCATAGTCAGTGCTTTAGCTTATGATATTTCAATGTTACAATAAGGCGGCAAGCAAGAATAAATACCGCTTAAACAAAAGCGGTTCAGTAGCTCAGACACTGTTAAGACGTAGAACCCGAAACTAGAGTGACTCACTCGTTGCTAACCCTAAAACCTTTTATTTTCGCTAAATGCACACAAACCTGCCTTTTGTGCAGTAAAATTACAGTAAAGTTGTCCGACGTTTGCTGAAACGGATGTTTCGGCAAATGTCCATCTCTATTCGTGACGTATAGCAAGCTTGCAAAAAGTTTACTTTGTTCAAATAAATTTGTTTTAATAAAATTATATTGTGTACTATTCTCCCACAATTCTAGGATATTTAATGAATATGACTGTATGGAATCTAGTATTCTAAAAGTGTATTATTTATTTAATTTAAAATTATAATGAGAATCCAAACAACTTTCTTTTATTATTCCCCATGTGTATATTATTTACATCAAATTATAAAAGTTTAATCATCATACCTTGTACAGCGTGATGAAAAACTCGACAGGAATTTTTAATTACATTTAGCGCTCCCGTCAACTTTCATCGCGTTAATGTACAGAAAACAAAAGCTTATCTCCTGAGACCGTAATAAAAGATCTCCACTTACTCATCACTCTAGTAATCAGTAAAAAGTCTCCGCTCTTAGCAAATTCCATTTCATGGGATCCTGACGGCACTCTTGGAAAATTTAAACTCATACGACGAGACGCCCAAGACATTTCAAAATTTCAAATGAAAATATATCAAAGCAAACTCGGTCTTTACTAGAACATTAAAACATCGATAAAAGTTAAACTTCGCGTCATTTTTTTAACACGATTTGTTATCCCATATCAGTCCGGAAATAACTCAAAATGTTGGTGTGAACCTACAGGTGGTTCGTTCAACTTGATTCGATTGATATATTGTCGTGTAATAAGCTCCAACTGGTAGAATGTGTTGAAGTAAGCTTACAATTTTTAGTCAAGCGACAAAGGTGAGAGACAACATTAAAAATAATGTGTGGGTTCGCTGGGTGGGTAAAAAAGTTTTTTTCTGGAAATATGTGCCTCGGGACGCATCCTATTTACGCTTAAAAGACTTTCGAGGTTATTCCGTTGAATTTTGTATTAACTGTATTTACGTACTTTTGTAATGAGACTTGTTCTGCTTCTCTCATTTTACTTTAATAATATACCAAAACGACACGTTGAGTGTGAGCGCCGTAATAATAACATGTCGAAAAAGCAACTTTTTAATCATATTTATTAAGTTTATAAAAGAGAAACAAATATTACGTTCCGACGACTCAAAGAATTATATCATCTGTTGGCTAACAATAGACATCGACCTTGAAGGCTTTTACGGAGAAGTTTTCCCCCGAAAGGGTAGGAAATAATTACGTTCGAGTCAGTAACCCGGGCGTGCGTTATTGATGGGCCCGCGCGGCGGCGCTGAGACGCGCGGTAAGTGGGTCAGGGAGGGAGCGAGGGACGCGCAGTCGCTCCGACACTGTGCGCTCAACCCTCAACCATGGCGGACGCGCCGCCCGAATTTATCGAGCTCAACGTGGGCGGCGTGCATTACGCCACTACACGCGATACGATCCTCCGCGAACCCGACTCGCTGCCCGCCGTCGCGCTGCAAGACCCTGAACATCCGCGGGACGCTCGCGGACGAATTTTTTTTGATCGAGACGGTGTTCTCTTCCGTTATGTTTTGGATTATCTCCGAGACGGGAGTCTTGTACTTCCAGAATGCTTTCGGGAACATAAGCGATTAACACGAGAAGCAAAGCATTACAGACTTGCGGGACTAGAAAATGCAGTACGGGATGCAGATCCTCGTCCCCCCAATCGTGAGCGAGGATGCATCACAGTCGGCTACCGAGGCAGTTTCGCATTTGGTCGGGACGGTCTCGCCGATGTTAAATTTCGCAAATTATCTCGTATCCTTGTTTGTGGGAAGGTGAACCTTTGCCGTGATGTATTTGGGGACACACTCAACGAGTCTCGGGATCCGGATCATGGGCTGGCAGACAGGTATACATCTCGTTTCTTCCTAAAGCACTCGTTTATTGAGCAAGCCTTTGATATGCTGCAAGAGAACGGCTTCAAGCTGACTGCCAGTTGTGGCAGCGGCACAGCTGGTGGAGTTGCTGAATTAAAACCTGGTATGGATTCAGAAGAAAATCGTTGGAATCATTACAATGAGTTTGTATTCGTACGTGAATAAATATTGCGTTCGCTCTGAATGTGATAATCATCTGTTGGCTAGAGTGGCTCTTAACTAAATAAGTTTTGATCGTTAGAGGTGATGTTTGAAATCATTATTTCGTAATGCGTCCTTGTACGCGGGTGCAAAAGTACCATAACTTTGCAGTTTAGTTAAAAGTCGTTCGCAATATTTGCGTACATACTAATGAAGCTTAATAAAATTCTTGTCATTATTAAGAAGTCCGATTGATGAGGAATAATACGGAAAGTTCAAGTACATAAATGTTTAATTATTATTATTATGTAGATAATGAAACTTAATTATAATCATGTAACAAATAGGTAGTGTTAAATGTAAAAAATATAAAGTATAGTAGTTAAATACATCCTCTAGGGCTAATTTCTTGTACTGTGTACCTATTTCTAACGTATTTTTTTAGTTATTTTATATACCAATAATTTGTAAACATATATTTTGAGAATAATATGTGGGCCATCCTTTTTTGTATAAAACTATGCCAAATTATGATGTAACTTATGTATAACGAATTTTGTATAGAGGCTCTGAGTTACAAATGTTTTCTGGACAGTTTATTTTTTTACCTATCCGGGTACTTAGTACCGAACGGTGTGTGTTGTGAAGAATTATTTAGTTTTTTCCCTCTCGTCATGTAGTTTTAAGAAGATAATTGGAGTTGTGTAGAAATTAATGCAAGGAGCGCGTGTGAAATGTACCTTTTAAATAATAGTATGTTAATAGTTCAGAATATGTATGTCTTGAAAGAATATAAAAGTAGCGAAAACATAAGTACGTGAAACTTTTAAGTAACAGTTTAAGACGCAATTATGACTTTGGAAGTGTAGGAACAGTTCAAAAGCGAACTTCGTGGAAAATGTTGTCGCGCTCAGCGGAAACTTTGGTCGTTAGTATATGTATTTATTTTACTGGCAAGTCTTTGTTTCTATCTACCTTTTCTATATACCTTTGTTTCTGACATTGCTATGTCGAATTTAAGCGATCGCAGCCATATCATTAGATTACCTAGATATTTTAAGCTCAACTTCCATGATTTATCTTCCCGATTTATGATGTAGGTAGAATATTCTGTAGTCGAATACCTCAGGATAGAGTAGTTGACATCTGACAACCCATACGATATGGTGCAAATGAGTTTCTCAAGTGCTAAATTCAGAGTGGACACCTTATAAGGTAGATGTGTCGACGTAATGCATGTAAGTCGTTGATTATGCGCTTAATATTATAGATAAGTAGCTGCTATTTATAATTAGCAGTTTGTATTAATAATGTAACTTACTCTTGTTGACGTTATTTAACATTTCTCTAACAATGATTAAAAAAAAAACGCAAAATTAGAACCGATTTATAAATATTTTCTTTAGCACTACTTATTCGCAATCATCCATAAGTATTAAGTTTATAATTACAAATTTATATATATTTAGATTTTTGACTACGAACCTTATTAAAACTAATTGTATTGTTAATAAGTAAACGTATATTTTTTGTTAAAAATCGATATTGTAACCGATTTTATTACCAGACCTGTGGAAAAAATATTTTTCCGTTTGAAAATTATAACAATATGAATTATGTAAGTAAACATTTTTCCCTTTATTTGTGGATGCTTTAAGAATCCGATGTGATGTTATGATAATTTAATACCTTCTAGTTATTTGTCTGAAGAATAAATACAGTGTTGAACCTGGACTTTAAAACTATTGTAGGATTTCTAAAAGAATAGTTTTGAGAATAAATTTAGTTAAAAAAATCTGTTTTATTGCACACCTGGTGTGTTCGCTGGTTAGAAATATTTAAATTTCATTAATATTCTTTTTTTTATTAGGTACGCTTCCTCACAATTTTTTTTTGACATCTGACACAACGCTATCTAATTTCTAACTAAGCAGAGCTTGTACTATGAAAGCTAGATTGACTGATACTTTTTTTTATAAATACATACATATGATACATAGAAAACACCCAAACTCCGAAACAATTTTTTGCAGAACATACAAACAGTTAGTCCGACCCGGGAATCGAACCCGAGACCTCAGCACAGTAGTCGCATACGCTACCACTGCGTCACTGAGTCAGTAAAAATTACTCAACCAATTATTATTATATGATTTATACAGGGGTATAAAAAAACATAGCGCGTTTTAAAAGTTAAAACAAGTTTGCCTCTATTATTCGTCATATTCTATAAAACAAAAATCCTTAAGTACTTTTGCTTAAAAAGATTCCTTCTAAACCTCTAATTAGCAATAAAAACACTGCGTATTTCGGAACCATTTTGTCTTGAAAATAGCGAACGAATTCCAAACAGTATTTATTCAAAAGGTTCGCAGAGGTGTTATTCGAAGGCCAACCGTCAGAAATAACTGGATTTAATGCTTTCATTACACATTAATTCTTTAAATATTTTACTCATTTCTGTTCCTGTATAAATTTATTAAAAGCTGCATTTTTTGATGGAACAAACAAATCGTATCTCAGAAATTTTAGTGAGGTTTAATTTGTTTGTATACAAGACTACTACCCCGACTGTTAATCAACATACTTATATACATTTTTTTAATTACATCAACAGCCTTTAATAGTCCACTGCTGGACATAGGCCTCTCCTTAGAAAGGAGGTTTTGGCCTACTGTACCACGCTGGCCAGACGGGTTTTTATAGGGTTTGTGTCAAGTTTTCCTTCTTTTTGCAGTGCTGGTGTACTGCGTTGTTTTGCGCCCTTAGTCGGCTTTTACGACACCCACGGGATGAATTGGTGACATTCCGTATTCTTAATCCGTCATTACACCGACATTTTTTTAAATACATACATATTATAGATAAATTACACAGACAGAACAAATGACCGTGGTCATCTATATATTATATAAATATAGATGACCACGGTCATTTCACGCTCAGCCGATTCAGATGAAATTTGGTATAGAGATAGGTTGATTCTTGAGAAAGAACATTAAATACTTTTTACCGCGATAACTAGTACTTTAAAAATTCCATAGTTGCAAATATTAGTTGTATTAATTACCTACTTTGCATTATTATTAATGTTGTATGGTCATCAAGTGTACCTTTTGTTTTCGGCTATGACTATTGACCATGAAAGACTACTGCCCACCCAGAGTATGCTTTAGATCAGATTATCAAGGCAACCTTCTGGTTACACACCCTTGATGAGCAGGTGGACTTTGTTGTCCCTGACAAGTCTGCTCGCTCTTTTCACTAAGTACTCATTAAAGGTCTTAGCATCGCCTAAAATTCTCTCCATTTATCAAATTCTTTTGGTAGATTAATTTTTATGAAGTTTTAGTAAGTTACAATTATCTGATTATTTATGTAGAAATAAAGTGACATTTACGTATTCATAATAGACTAGACGCCTTTAAACGAAGTAAAGCTCTAAAAATTAACAATGTAGTGTTGTATTGTAATAATAATAATAAGTAATGCACAAATCTTATTTTGAAACTGACAAATTTAATTGTACAAGCTAACATTTATAATTTTTAAAATGAAAGTATGTATGTACACACTTAATAGATTGATGATAATTAAATGTCAGTGGTGTTTAAATGAAAATTTATAACACATTGTTAGAAATATCCCTTCAACACCGGGGAAAATATTTCCGAAATTAAATTATTATTATTTTATTTAAGCTATAATGTAGTAAACTAGGGTTGTGTTGTCTGTTACACAACTGCTAAAATTGGATTACATCTTTTTATTTTGTATAATTAGATACTTCTCCTATATACCTACCTTTTTATCTTGTACACTTATTCTACCGCGCTGAGTGTTGTGGGTTCGACCCTCACACGAGACAACAGTTTGTGTCACCCACAAATTGTTTTTTTGAGTCTGAGTATATTTGTGTCCGTTATATCGTAACGCTTAAACTGCATTTGGTAATTTCTATTTTGTTACAATATTAGCAATGAATGTTTCACTGTGTCTGAATACATCATTACAAAGAAGAAGATTGTTAGCATAGCATATACGCGATTTTGTGATGTCACCAAGGCTGTACCGTTTCGAATAAAATAAATATAAATGCCTAGTAGTTAAATGTACGTACCATGATCTGTTAATGTTCAAAGAAGCAACCGTATTAAATTGAAGCCCGGTAATGGCTACGGTTAATTAATTCCTCCGGATAATGGTGACAAGCGGCCCATTAACCACAAACCTCATCCATACACAGCGACTGACGGCCGACGTCGAGTAGACATTAATTAAATGTTACATCTAGTAGATGTATTGATATTCCGTATTGCCTTTTATATTTGATAGTCTGGTATGACTTAATCCCGATGTTCCCGCCCTTTTGTATTAAATTTGTAAAAAATTAAAGTAAAGCTAAATGACGTATCCATCAGGTAGGTAGGTACGTACCACCAGATCTTTTGCGGGCCTGAGGTCTACCCCGTGAATCTTTTTCGTATCTAATATTGCATATTCTTCTTTTTATTCAATTTGAAATATGACCGCCTTCGATTCTAATTACAAACTAATTAAATTATTTACTATCGGTCATTGCACTATTGCAATGGATTGTATGGTGATGATAGTGTCTTTGAACCCCTTTTTAAACAATATGGCTTATGGAACTACATAATTCATATTTGAAATACTTGGTGTTTATATGTGTGTGTGCAGAAAGCAAACATGACTTTAAACAATATGTGCTTTGTTAAAAATTATGTGAAAATGATTACATAATATATTACTGAAGGAGTCCAGGGTATATTTTGACCTGTCCCAGGGATTTCCTTTCCAGGGTACACCTGGTTCCCAACTAGTACCCTAGAAGGCGTGTGGTTTTTGGTCGGTTCGAGTCCGACATAACCACCGGTGAGTGGTATCCGAGGGGATTCCCGCCCAGAAAAAAAAGAATAGTATATTTGACCTATCATGGTGCAAAGTCTACAATTATTAAAAAACACTTTTGATCGAGTGAGTAAGGTAAACGAACCCTACCC